AATCGCCGCCACTTACCTGCGCTGTCGAAACGAGCCCCGAGGACGGGGTTGCCGCCTTCGTTGACGTAGCCTTCTACGAGGAGACGTTAGAAGAAATGCCTCGAAGAGATGACGCCCAAGACGATAATTATTCGAGTTTACAAGCGTGCATGATTGATATCTTAATTCGCGATTAACCATTGCCCAGGGAAATGTTTCAATTAGAGTGCGTAACTGATGAGCCAATATTTGCGAAATCTCTCCTCATTTCGCGCTCTTCATTTCGTTTCCCACGGATGAGCGAAGGGGAAAAGAAACGTAGCGAATGATTCTCTTCTACGTTTTTTTTCAAAACATATAGACTTTTATTAAAGTATATATATATATATATATATATGTATATATACCTTCTTGTACGTGTACAAATTTAAATTTTCCAGTATAGTATAATATCTTACGAAAGATTAAAACTGTCTTAATAGTCTTGTTGTTTCAAAATTTTTCAGGTATACGTATGATGGACCGTGACTGGTGGTCCGTGAAGTCCAGTAGCTATTCACCGACACCACTCCATTTACCAAACACACTGCCCATTGATCCATCGGAGCGGTGATTGCAAATCATCCGTGTCGGCTCGTCTAGACGAGCGATTCAACCCATCTCAATCGCAAAACCGCCGATGAATGGGCCAAGTATACACGAAACTGAATGAACCTACTTTTCACCACACTCGCTCGATACGATCGTTAAATTATCCAACCGACTCCCCCTTTTTCGCCGATATACTCATTTCACTCACAATGGCAACGCAGGCGGCTCGTTGATCGCGTTTTTTTTTTTCACGTCACGCTTTATCGGCTTCTCATGGGCTGTCGCGATGATCGAGGACAGTGTGAAAAACCAGCCACCCCTTCATCGCTATGTATATATATATATATATATACATATATATCACTGGTTTTTATTTTCGACGAATTCCGGCGCCGACGAAGCCGGGCCACGTTAATTAAACGTCAATTGATCGATGCACGAGAGGGGTTTATGATTAAAAATCATAAATTCCAATGATCGGCTCCCGTTTAACAGGGAGCCTGATATTTTATCGGGAATGTTCGCGCGCAACGATCGATTACGCAAGCGCGCCTCCTGAAAAGTCCCCTGTTGGAATGCAACCGGCCAGGACGGAACGAGAAAATGCAAACCAGACTCGATCGAGAACCGGGGCGAAAGGGGGAAAACGAACGAGATTAACTTCTTCTAAGGCTTCTAAGGCTTCTCTTCTTCTTTCTTTCATTCGTTGTATTTATATGCCGAGGAGATAATTGGGATCAATATATTTATAAATGGAGAATTTGTTATCCTTCCATAGACAGACATTTAGTGGTAATCTTTCTTCTTTTCTGTAGAAAAAAAAAAAATTAAATGAAGTAAGATTCGTTGAATTTCCCATCGCGTTCCGACGGGCAAGGTCGGGACCAAATAAATTAAATTTCCGCAGCAAGGAAGGAGGGTCATCGATGCCCATCGGACAGGTAAACAATTGGAGGCGAAAGAACAATGTTGCAACCTCCCGTTTCAACTCGAAAGGCACGATCCTCGATGAAGATAATGAGCTGCCGATAGGCACGGCAGAGGTGTTTCGTGGAAGGTGGACGAGTATCGGCCATTTATTCGTAATGCGAAGAAGAGAGTTCGAGTTTACGCAGGTTTCACGAGCAATGGTTTACGAGCAACCCTTCGACGAAGAGAATAGAGTCGTTAGCGATTGTCGAACCGCTGATATCTCGCATCATTTCACTTTTACCTGTGTCTCTTCTGAGCGGGATCCACCTTTCTCCTATTATTTCTTTTCTCCCCCTCTTTTTTTTTTTTGCTTTCTTTCTTCTGAAATATAGTCCGCCTCTTAATTCTTCTTCTTCTTTCTTCTTTTTTTTTTGTGCTTAAACTTGCTCCATCGGCTACTTTCTTCTTCTTCGAAATTCGGGAACCGATCGTATCGGAAAACGATCGAACACACCACCCTCTTTTCTCTCACCTTTTCTTCCTATCGATATGACCAGGAATCCAGAGATCGACGATAAATTTAAACAATTAAATTAATACACTACGTTCCACTACAAATATAATTCCATATCACCGTATTATATCGTGCTATATTTTACACATCCCCTAAATTTTTCTAAATTCACCATCCCATGATTCTCTTATAGTTACACTTGGTCTCGAGATACTCGAATTTTTCTAAGTTCACCATTTCATGATTTCCCTATAATTGCACTTGGTCTCGAGACTCGAATTTTTCTAAGTTCACCATAATTCCCTTATAGTTGCACTTGGTCTCGAGATACTCGAATTTTTCTAAGTTCACGATCTCATGATTCTCCTATAATTACGCTTGGTCTCGAGATACGCGAATTTTTCTAAGTTCACCATGATTCCCTTATAGTTGCACTTGGTCTCGCGATACTCGAATTTTTCTAAGTTCACGATCTCATGATTCTCCTATAATTACGCTTGGTCTCGAGATACGCGAATTTTTCTAAGTTCACCATGATTCCCTTATAGTTGCACTTGGTCTCGCGATACTCGAATTTTTCTAAGTTCACGATCTCATGATTCTCCTATAATTACGCTTGGTCTCGAGATACGCGAATTTTTCTAAGTTCACCATGATTCCCTTATAGTTGCACTTGGTCTCGCGATACTCGAATTTTTCTAAGTTCACGATCTCATGATTCTCCTATAATTACACTTGGTCTCGAGATACTCGAATTTTTCTAAGTTCACCATGATTCCCTTATAGGTGCACTTGGTCTCGAGATACTCGAATTTTTCTAAGTTCACCATCCCATGATTTCCTTATAGTTGCACTTGGTCTCGAGATACCACTCGGCGACCTCCGTTCGCCTCCATCGTGGCGATCCGTGTCCCAGTCGGTCGCAAATGTCAACCGATGGCACACGCGAGGGGAGGGGAAAAACGCAGCCTTAGGGAAGGAAGAAAAAGAAGAAGAAGAAGAAGAAGAAGAAGAAAAAGAAAAAAGTAACGGGAAAGAGGCGAAGCTCGGCTTATCCGCTCGAAGAGGATTTTGCAAGGGAGCGAGGCCGCGGGGAAATTGGACGAGTCAAATGCCACACACACACATATATATATATATATTCATATATGTACATATACACGGCTCGATTAAATGTCGGCGGGGCACGAGCGCGACACGGCGGCGGCCGCTTGTCCTTGTTGAAATTAAATTGGAGGGAAGCCCAGCCGTGGAAAAGATCGCTCGACGAAACGAAATTACGCAATCCACCGCAAGCCGCATATAAGACGCATGCGTGCGTGCGTGCGTACGCGTATATGTGTGCGTGTCCCGCTATATCGTATCGATGCAACGAAGATCGATTTCTCGTTACGCAATCGGCGAGAGAAAGAGAGAGGGAGAGGGAGAGAGGGAGGGGGATGAGGAGGGAGGGAAAGAAAGTGGCGACGAACCATTTGCCAGCCAGCGTTCACAAACTTTCTTGCGTCGAAATGCGAGAACGCGAGCGCGTTTCCTCCTCTTCCGCGGAGGATACCATCTTTTTCGACCAACAACTGTTTAGTTTTTTCGCGATTGCAATTGCAGTTTATATTACGAGCATCAGTATATTGAGCACCAGTATCAGTATAAAATAAAGAGAAGTTCGCGATTTTATGGAATTTATATTGGGATAAAGAGAGAAAGAAAAGAAAATGATTGCTGTACAAAATTTAATATTGATTTTTCGTATTGGAAATATATATCCCAGTTCCTGGTTATTTATTTATATATCACTTTAATGGAATTCATTTTACGATGTATTTTCGTATACAGTTTCTTCTTCTGATATAACAAATTCATATAGCACAATATTCTATATAATAGTTAATTAAAATTGTTTGGTTACTTCTGTCAATTATAATTAAAAAAAAAAAGGAGAAAAAAATATATACGCTTTTCTCCAATCTCATCATCTTCGTACAATGAACGTTATTACGAAATACATTCTTTTATTCGATTGTGTAAATAGCAGTTTCAGCGACAGATGCGTAAGAAGGCGGAAGGAATTACGCAAACGAAGAGGCTGTGCACGTTTTTCCTTTTCTTTTCTTTTTTTCTTCTTTTCTTTTTTCTTCTTCTCTCTTTTCAATCGCCTCGTCGAGACGACGACGAGAGATGGTTGTCGAAATCCTTGTGTTACAGATTTCCTTCCGGTTGTGTAACAGCCTGTCTAGCCTACACCCCGTCCTCTCGTGGCTGCCACCCTCTCGTTGCACTTTACAAAGGATCCGCAGTTTTCGACGAGCGTTTTTTAATAGTTCCAGATCGTGGAGGAGGAGGAGGAGGAGAAAAAAAGGAGCGGAGGAGAAAAAAAAAAGGAAGGAACCGGTGCAACGGTTGGTCGGATGGTTGGTCGAGGAACGCCGACAGTTTTTCGATCCCTCGAGTGTCCATGCACACGAGGGAATACAAATGCAGGAAGTTACGCATCCTGTGCGATCGATCTATCGCTCGCAGGATCGTGCCTTTATTCGATCGGTCCTGGACACTCGAGACGGAGAACTTTGATCTTGGATTTATTTTCACATGTGTGTGTTTCTTACGAATTTGTAATCTCTTAAGACGAGTTTAAATTTTTTTTTCTATACTTCTTGATCCACTTGAATTTTATCAATCGCCAATTGTTAAGTTGGGATTTCAAGAGAAAAAGTATATACTGTTTTCTGATCGAAAATTAAATTATATTTGTAAATTGGATAAATTGTAACAAATTTCTTGAATAAATTTTAAATAATTGATTTATTATTATTGATAATATTATTTAGTTATTATCATGTTTTATATTTGTAGAAAGAAATATACGTATGGAAAATTGGACACACTTTCTCGTTATTTTATCACATTTTTGTGTTAGATCAGAATTAATAACTCATTCGGTTATCATTGCCTCGCTAATGACTTTTTCCACGAGGCAATTACTATTAGTCGAAGATAACGCTAATAACACTCTGTTAACAAGCTGTACGACGAGAACGACGAATTTATGAGTGTAGTACAGGGAAAGGGGGGAGATGACGATGGTTTCGGTAGACCGTGAGAATGGACGGTTTGAAAAAAACCACAAGGCATTCAGGATGATGACGATGATTTGGGCACAAACGAGACCGAACCGTTGAAAGGAGAAGGTTTCTGGAAAAAGGGTTGCGCCTTGCTTCCGCCTCGAACCGGTCTTTCTCTCCAAATTGATTAAAACTTGTCAAAAAATGAGATAATCCACGTCGTGTAAACGAATTACTCTTTGTCTCTCCAATTAAAAAGTTAATCTGCATTTTCAAAGATGTCTTTAAGAATGTAGATAGATCTTTCGATTTTCTAATAGTTTTTGAAACAATATTATTTAGTTTTTTCCAATAGAAATTATTTGTGAAAATTTGATTTCGTTTCAAAAATTTATAATGAATAATATTTTCCAATTGATATCATATCGATCGTGCTTATCCTTTCGTTGAAATCACCAAACATTCATATTCCCTTATATATTATTAAAAATTTATACAATTAAATATTCTTCTAGGAAACATGCTTTCGTGATATATTTGCAGACAAATAGAAACGAATCGATGAGTATATGTAATAATAAACAGTGCTCAGAAAATAGAAAATTTTTCAAAATTCTTCAAAATTCAATTTCCATGGCATTGATTCATTCTTTGATTATAATCGAGAAAAATATGAGTCTTATAAATTTTTTCTCCTTTCCAATCTTCCAATTCAAAGTTACAACACCATAAAGTCGTCAACTCTATCAATTTTCCTTATTAATTATCCACTCTTCAAGCCTTTCCCTTCGAATCCCTTTTCCTGCTATGTTTACACCAGGCGAGGAAATGTTGCGGTCAAAGAAGAGGTGAAGAGGATTAAGACTCGAAGAGGATTATCCCCGATTCTCGAGTTAGAACAGAACTCGAGAAGGCTTACACCATTGTCAAGAAGGATGCTCCTTGAGAAGCGAAATCCTTTCGCTTCGACACTCGAGGGTAGAGAATTTATCCCTAGGCCACCACCTTTCGGATCATAAACTTTTAGAGTTTTCTGGTCAGTGCGGTTTTTTTTCAACGGAAGAAAGGTGAAAGGGTTGTCTTTGTCGAAAAGAACGCTTCGTTAGGGACGACAAGGGGTGGAGGAAAGGGTCACGTTAATCCTGTAAATTTAGAAGATTAACAAGGATCTGTTTACGATTGTACAGATCCTGACGGATATTTTTATATTCCTCTTGCTGCGATCTTTTGGTTGAAGCAAATTTCGTGGATTTGAAAAAAGGAGTTTCAATTCTCCATTTGGTCGTCTTATTCTTCGTCCTCTTCTTACGATGCTATAATTTCCTATAATCTGTTTCATTTATCATTTGGAGTATGATTATTTCTTGTGTGTTTCAAGATTATTGAAATTATTGGTGATATTAATATAGGAATCGATAAGGAATGAGCGTAGTAGAGTTCAATGTCATGTTCTATATTTGATAGGCCGGTAGGTAACATCTGAGATTTCAGAGAAGTGGAACTGGCGCCATCTTCAGCTGGTGTCCTGCAACTTGAAAAGGTTACCCAAGATAAATTCGAGTTACCGGCAAATATCCCAAACTACTTTGAGATCCATCATGGATTTTTAATGCAAATTCTGTTATCGATATATTATTGATATAAAAAAATTTTGTCATTAATTATAAATTATAATTTTTGTTATCCAATGGTGAAACATTATTTCTTTTCACTAATTTCAAGGTATTTATATATCTTTCTTATTCCAAAAAATAAATATATATATATAAATATTTCGTAATTAATTAAAGTAAATTCAATAAAAAGAATGCAGATTGAACGAATAACATACACTTACGTATTTAATTTAATTTTTAAGTTGACTACGTCCCCGTTGTTTGAAAACTATCAAACGTGCAGCAGTGCAAGGAGTACGACATACATCGTGGCGCTTTCAACGCGATCGGAATTATTTCATTTCAATTAGGAGAATCGAAGAAAGTACATTTGCCCTCGCGTAAGTGAAAAATTTCCAATTAATTCCATCAGTCCGAAGGAAGTCGAAAGGAGTAGACAAAGGAGGACGAATGATCCATTGTTATTCATATGCTTTTATTAACAAATGCGAGGGAGGCAATAATAAATAATCGTGCCGCGCGAGTAATAATAAATAAAGGAAGCAACAACGTTCCGGAGTTTATTACAAAAAGAAGAAAAGAAATATATTCCATCCAGCCGCGAGATTCGAATTCTCCTCGTCGTCCGGACGATCTGTCGTCTCCTGTCGATTCCATGTTGCAAATCGTTCGTCCAATTCCTAATTTATTTATAACGCTGAACAATCTTAAAATTGTTCCATTCTCTCATCGATCTTTCTCAACAATAATTCTGAAAAAAATTTACAGAACTCGTTAATTAATAACTAAGTTCTCGCTTCGACGAGAATACTTTAGGACCAAGTGATCAAGAATGATCGATCAGTGTTCGATCGGTCGATCGACGATCGTCCAATCGTTCAGGCGATTATTTGGCGTGCGTATGTCTCTTTGGTCTCTCGATCGTGCGATCGATCCGTCGTTAAAAAATGAGAGTTAAAAAGGGGCGGAAAAACGAGTCGATTATCCGTATGATCGTCTAATAGTTCGTCGAGCTGGCGGAATTGACCGACGACGAGGAGGACGAGGAGGACGAGGAGCCGGTATAACTGTTGGAGCCGCTGCTCGGAGAGTAGTAAGAGTAGGCTAGGTTTTGCGCTTCCACACCGTTGGTCGGCGTCCATACGCGGGAATAAGGACCGTTTCCGTCCCACGTGTTCGCCGGATCGTAGCTCGACGTGGTCGAGGGCATAGGTGGAGCTCCGTACGCCGGTGTAGCCGGTTCCATCGACATTCCTGCGAGACAGAGACGCAGAGAGAGAGAGAGCTTAATTAATCTCTTTCTCAAACACAATTTGCACCCGGTTAAATTTTAAATTTGCGCGGAAAGAAACGTACCCATTGGCATCATCATTCCACCCTTCTTGAACAATTGAACAGCGATGAATCCAACAACGAGGAGGACGGCGAGTTTCGAGAGGATCAGAGCCTTCAACGCCTTCAATCCAACCACGGCGACGAGGATCGGCATAAGGGCCTTCAGTTTCAATTTCAAGAGGAGCAGGAAGGGCAGCAACAGTTTCTTCTTCAACATTCCTCTTGCCTGGCTGGTAGCCACCTCGTTCCCATTGAACTCGATATCCAGATCCGCCAAACTCCTGCTCGGCCTGTACTTGAGGCTCGCGTCCACGAAAGGCAGATCTAACCCGTAGTCGAAACTCTTCAGATATTTGAACGTCCTGGCGACGATAGCCTCGTCAACTGTGTCCAAGGATCTCGCCTCGGTGCTCGTTCCAAGCTTCCCGTCCAAGTATCCGAGCACCTCTTGCTTGAGGCAGGACAGCCAAGACTCGGCTGCTATGCACTCGTTCAACGATTTCGAGAGGAAATCCTGCCCGGCCAAGCATCCTCCCACCGTAGACACGATCGTTACAATTGCTATCAACTGCCTCATCCTCTCCTCCAATGATCGAAAATATGAA